CCGCCGCTGACGCCTCGGTCGCAGCAGAATTGCAAGGCGCGGTCGTGCCTGCCGCCGCTGCAGCCGCTCTCCATCGCCCGCCGGAGCCTCGACGAGTGGCCGAAAGCCGGCTCCGACGACATCGGCGAGTGGCCGCAGCCGCCCACCACCCCCGGCGGAAGAGGTAATGGCAGCAACGGTGAAAGGTTGAAACTTGACTTGTCTTCGATTCAGCATAGTAACCCTGATCATAGGAGTAACAATGGTGGGCTTGTAAAAAGGGATAAAATTGCATTTTTTGATAAAGAGTGTTCAAAAGTTGCTGATCATGTGTACCTTGGTGGTGATGCTGTTGCTAGGGATAGGGACATTTTGAAGCACAATAGGATCACTCATGTGTTGAATTGTGTGGGGTTTGTGTGTCCTGAGTACTTTAAGGCTGATTTTGTTTATAGGACTTTGTGGCTGCAGGATAGTCCCTCTGAGGACATTACTAGCATTTTGTATGATGTGTTTGACTACTTTGAGGATGTTAGGGAGCTAGGTGGGAGGGTGTTTGTGCACTGTTGTCAAGGGGTGTCTAGGTCTACCTCTTTGGTCATTGCTTACCTTATGTGGAGGGAAGGACAGAGTTTTGATGATGCTTTTCAGTTTGTGAAGGCAGCGAGAGGGATCGCCGATCCAAATATGGGCTTTGCGTGTCAGTTGCTGCAGTGCCAGAAAAGGGTCCACGCTTTCCCTCTTAGTCCTAGCTCTTTGCTGAGGATGTATAGGATTGCTCCACACTCGCCCTATGATCCTTTGCATCTTGTTCCCAAAATGTTGACGGATCCTTTGTCTTCTGCATTGGACTCTAGAGGTGCGTTTATTGTGCACATACCTTCGGCGATTTATGTTTGGATTGGTAAGATTTGTGAGGCCATGATGGAGAGGGATGCTAGAGGGGCTGTGGGCCAGATTGTTCGGTATGAGAAGGTGCAAGGACCTATTGTGATGATTAAGGAAGGTGAGGAACCAGCATACTTCTGGGATGCATTTTCAAATTTTCTGCCCTTGATGGATAAATCTGGTAACAGATTTGAAGATGGCAAATCAATTGGTAAAGTTTTGCCTGGTGAGAGGAGAGTGGAGGCATATGATGTTGATTTTGAAGTGTTCAAAAAAGCAATCACGGGAGGCTTTGTGCCGCCATTTGCGTCTTCAGAGGATGACCATGAAATCCATCTTCCTGCAAGAGAGAGTAGTTGGAGTGCTTTAAGGCGTAAAGTTTCCCCTGCTAATATGAAGGAGTTTGTCACGGCCCCTAGGTTATCCTTTCCAAGGGTTTATTCAGACTCCATGTTGTGCATTCATGCATCATCAAAATCATCGCCATCTTCATCCTTGTCGTCATCCTCCTTATCATCATCCTCGTCACCATCTTATGTTTCTCCAGATTCCATTTCTTCTGATTCTAGCACCCATTCAAAGTTTTTGTCAGAATTGTCCCCGGATTCTTCCTCTGTGGTTTTGACTTCTGTTTCTCCTGTATCCTCATCTCTGGCTAATTTTTCTAATTTGTCGATCTCATCAAATTCTACTCCTCAAACAGTGTCTAACAGTACAGATATCCTTGGTGTCAAGTTATCACATCCTCTTTCTCAGTCAGCTACTTTACCATTGAAAAAGCCATCAGCTTCCCTTGCTGAACGCAGAGGTAGTTTGTCAAAATCTTTGAAGTTGCCACTAATGAATGAAAAGACACAAGTAATAGATAAATCGTCGACTTTTCATGCTAGTCCAGAACATGGCATTCTTGTTAATGGTAATGTTGGCTATTCGCAACAATCAGATAGTATAGATTATATTTTTGAGTCTAACAACCATGCAAAGGATGGAGTTGTGAATTCAATTCAAAAGCATGAGCTGCCATTATGTCCAACAAGCATAGTTGATAGCATGCACCTCAAGGAATCATCCCTTCTCAGGAACTGTATTGAGCTTGTGATAGATAGTTCCCCAAGAGGAAACTTATTGCTAAGTCAGTCTACAGCATTGAAGGGAACTAAGGAGTGTGGCTTACTGCAGTATAATGTTAAACAAACTTCTGTATATCACTGGCCCAGTTTAGAAAAGATCGAGACATTTGGCGCAAGTCATTTGGATTCTAAAGCTGCTTTTGTCATATTCTCTCCAAGTACGCGTGTACATGCAGGGAACATTTTATATATTTGGGTAGGGAGGTCTTTCAATTGTGACGCTTCACAGGTTCATTTAGATGGTGATAAACAGTCAGATCATCTAGGAGCTGTTGACTGGAATCAAATTGGTTGTGATCTACTTGCTCAGTTTAGTTTTCCAAAGAATACAGTCATTAAGGTATGACCTTTTCCTTCTTTTTTGTATCATGCTTTCAACTCTATGCTATAAATAAGTTGCTGCAGTCATGACATGCATGTTCAGTATAATATTAATCTAATCCTCTGTGCTTTCCATATTAAAATGACATTTTGTTCAAATTGTGCAATACAAACATGGAATTGAATTCATGCTTTTGATTTTTACTTATTTTGGTTTCTGATCTAGATTAAAACATGGTAACCACTGAAAGCAATATTTATTGTTGGAGGTCAGATTGTGTTTGCTTCAGCAGTCTCTTTATATCCATTAATTTTTTGATCGGAAACATTCTTAATGATATGCTGAAAAGAAAACATGCATCACCTATATTTTAATTGTCGAATACCTCATTAGCAGCTTATTGGGGAGTGAGCATAAGCAGCATAATCAATTGCAGGAAATATTTTTGCAACTGCAGTAGATGGTGATATTTTCTCCATTCTGTGGACCCCAGATAATTTAAGTAAACATAGGTCATATGGGGGTTTCTCTATATGATTTTTAGGTAATTGATTATTACAAGCTCATTATACAGCATTGCAAGTTTCATAAGCTGAAAGACTTGGTTGTAAATAATTTCTGCGTATGCAGTTTTTGGTATCACATACTTCCACCTAGGTTTTTAAGTTAAGAATGCTTGCATTTTACAAGTTTAGCAGTTTTAGGATCTATAGGTCAGGAAGAACAGGAGGGTTATTAGAGGAGCATTAGAACCCAATTCTTGTGATTGATGATAAAAGAGGACTGGAGGAGTTATCTAGATTTGTTTTTGGAGAAGTATTGAGAAATGAAAAGGAGATCCAGAGAGGCCAGGTCTCTCAAATATCCAGGAATCAGAGTGCCTTGGATTCTGTATCACATTGATACTGACTAGGGAAATTTATGCAATAAAACCTATCTTTTCATGCCATATTCCGGTCCACTAGTATCTATCTCTTTCCTATAGTCAATAGAATTGATAGCAAAATAGGTGGTGGAATCTCTTATTTAATCTAGTTTTATGTTAGATTGGGTGCCTTTTAGATTTTAGGTGGATCAGATGTTGCAATGTATTTATCCGCAGATCACATAAATGTTTTCTTCCTTTTAATGAAAGACTCAGAAGGGAAAAAAAAAAAGTGAAATTGATTGACTTAAGTTCGCAAAAAGATGCGGAAAATGTGAGAATGATGGGTGGCACTCTTTGGTAGGATTTGCAGATACAATAAATTCTATTTATCCTATTTCATTTCTTGGGAAATAGGTGTTTTACATGTTTTATTCTTTAATTCTATCCTTCTGTTGTTTGCATCATTGTGTTGTTAAAGCAGCATTCCTCATTTTGTGCTGAAAGTGTTGACTTTGAATTTCAAATCAGTACTTTTTTGTTGCCTATAATGTCAAGAAACCACTCCAACCTTGCCTTGCCTTGTAGCATTTGCTGATTTATGATATATCTTCCATTCATTTTTCTATTCTCACATAAGATTGAATTGAGCATTAAGCACCATAGATTGTCCCAATATTTTGATCATGTTGATCTTCTCTTCTGTGATTAGATTGTTAAAGAGAATGAAGAATCTACAGAGTTCCTTGCTATGCTGAGTTCATTGTAGCATAAACGACAATAGGAGAATCCTGGATTCAAGTAACTTCTATAACATTTTCTGCATCTGCAGCTGTCTCTATGTATGGCAATTTTTCAAGCTCTAATTTGATCTTCCCTGTGAAAAGAAATCCAGTGAGGTAATGAATTTCAACCTAGCTATTACAATTTTTTTTAGAGCATTTTGTTTATTTGTTCACGTTAATTTTGACTAATTATACCATGGTAAATAATGTTTACATGTTCCTTTTCTATAAAATACGTCTAATCTTGATATCACCTTTATTGTACCAGCTGCATCAGTATGGTGGTTCTTATATTTAACAGTTGATGCTCATTATTTTCCTTGTTTTTCTCTAATCTTGATTCTAATTAAAGAGTGTTGCATTCATTGTGTTTAAAATTTAAAATGAGTTGTGTTATATGTTACTTGCAGGAGGTTGCTCCATGCCAAGTCAATTGTAGCTCGGCTGATTGTACAGTGCTTTAACATCCTAAACCTAGAAATTTATGTTCAATATACTCCAATTTCTTTCATATTCTCATGTTATTTAAAGAAAAAAACAATTCCTTCTTCTCTATCTCTCTAGCTCTCCCTCCTTCTCTAGACATTCGTAAAATTTTAGGATCTAGTTTATTTCCTTTTATGTGAACAAACAAATACCTGGATGAGAATTTCTAAATTGGGTGATATAGAAGTTCTAAACAATAGATGGGGTTATGATTCGTTCTTTCAATTTGATTGACCATCGTCCAAACCTAGGTTGCATTTTTTTTAATTAATTCAAGTAAATCGATTCAGTTCGGTATTTTCATAAACATGGATGAAAATTGAGTGATGTCGATTATTCTTCCCTGATATGCCCCTTTTTAAATAAATTTTTGGGCGCATTTAAATGCTTGAAATCTATGACTTAATTATGAAATCCAGAGCAGTTTTCAAGAACTGTCACTACTCACTCGTGTACAAGACGCCATGCACCCGGATAATTCTTAGAGACACAATTATTTTTTTGGTATACCTTATATATACACCGTAATGATTTACGGTGATCCCTATACTTAACTATGTTAGTTAGCTAGGTTAAAATATTAAGTTGGATAATATATATATATATATATA